ATGCCATCAGCTCATACCAGAGCAATCTGTAGTTGGAGTGCTGACGTTTTTAAACAACACTGAGGTCCATCGCCTAAGCACATTGCAAGTCAGATGCAAATCACAGACCCAGGAGTATTTGCACAGAATTTGCACAGAAACAAACTACAATAGTCAGGTCTGCAGAGACAATCTTCTGCGCAGGCCTTCACTCCATCCAGGACTCGTTCAGGTCAGTGGTCTAGAAAAGGGAAGCGGACATCTCTGCAGTCCCCACACATCCTGGACACAGATCAGCACTACTGAAGGGCTATTTAAAAAAAAAAAAAAAAAAAAGCAGCCCCCATAAGGACAGTTCTTCCTCCAGGCTGTTTCTCTTATGGACACTGAACAGTCAGCGTACTCAGATCCATACCATCATTATTGACACCTGTTCGTCCTTATCATCTGTAAAAAAACATATAAACAAAAGCTTATATATACAGATTTAGAAAAATAAAATATTTGTATTAACGGTAAAATTTAATATGAATGAATTAATTAATCTATAACTTTTTATCAGACAATAAATTAAAATTACAAATGTAATACATACAAGCATCATGTATAATAAATTGTTATTACATTATGTGTGTAATTAAGTGGTTATAGTCCTTAATACCAACAAACTTCCAGATTCTAACTTAGTCCTCAACTACAATCACTGCAAAGATATTCATGCACCCATCTACAGTGAATAAATGCACCTGTTGATTTTTTTTTCCTTCTTCCATCTCATCTTTTTTTAAGAAAACCCTTTTGAGCTTTATAATAAACAGTCTCATTGGACATTGTTTTAATTCAACACTGAGTTTGTTCAATACTTTAACATCATGTACTGAAACAAACATTTTGTTTGATGTTTTTTTTTAACATATAAGACTTCAGGAATTCAGATTATCCCAGTAATCACCCCCCCCCCCCCAAAAAAAGAAAATTTTTGTATTCTGCCTGATAGCAGTTTATTTCTAGCTTTATACATTAGTTATGAGATTTGAAATTCTACCAGATCAGAGGATTTAAGCAAGCAGGAATGAATACACAATGGATTAGTGTGGTCATGAGAGCCAGCTTTATGAACTTTTCTGATGGTTAGTTTCTGCAGCATGCATAGCGGCTTCAGTAATGTCCTGTAGGTATTATCCCAGACTTCTACAATATAGCTCAGGTTTGGTAAAATCAGCGAACAGTAAAGAATGTATGATGATTTATAATTCAGAACTGTTCTCATTCCACCTCTACTCCATCTATATTTCCTTTATACTTTATACTTTACAAATAACATAAGATATGTTTTCTCTAAAATCTAGGACCAATTGTTTTTTGGAAACCAGTTTTTTTATTATTAACCTCTGGCGTAATATAATATATTTACATTTAAAATGTTTAAACATTTAAATACTTAAAAAGAGAATAGAGAAGCACCCTATAGTGGTTGGATTCTCTAATGCATACAGTGAGGAAAATAATTATTTGAACACCCTACTATTTTGCAAGTTCTCCCTCTTAGAAATCATGGAGGGGTCTGAGATTGTCAGCATAGATGCATGTCCACTGTGAGAGACATAATCTAAAAAACAATCAAGAAATCACAATATATGATTTTATAGCTAGTTATTTGTAAGATGCAGCTGCAAATAAGTATTCGAACACCTGTCTATCAGCTACAATTCTGACCCTTAAAGACCTGTTAGTCTGCCTTCAGGATATCCACCTCCACTCCATTTATAATCCTAAATTAGATGCACCTGTTTGAGGTCGTTAGCTGCATAAAGGCACCTGTTCACTCCATATAATCAGTAAAAATCCAACTACTAATATGGCTAAGCCCAAAGAGCTGTCCAAAGACACTAGAGACAAAATTGTACACCTCCACAAGCAAAGAGCTACAGGGAAATTGCCAAGCAGCTCAGTGAAAAAAGGTCCACTCTCGGAGCAATCATTAGAAAATGGAAGAAGCTAAACATGAATGTCAATCTTCCTCGGACTCAGGCTCCATGCAAGATCTCACCTCGTTAGGCCTCAATGATCCTAAGAAAGGTGAGAAATCATCCCAGAACCACATGGGAGGAGCTGGTCAATGACCTGAAAAGAGCTTGGACCACCGTTACCAAGGTTACTGTTGGTAATACACCTAGACTTCATGGTTTGAAACCATGCATGGCACTGAAGGTTCCCCTGCTTAAACCAGCACATGTCAAGGCCCATCTTAAGTTTGCCAATGACCATTTGGATGATCCGGAGTCAAGGGAGAAAGTCATGTGGTCAGATGAGACCAAAATAGAACTTTTTGGTCAAAATTCCATTAACCATGTTTGAAGACGGAAGAAAGCTGAGTAGCATCCCAATAACACCGTCCCTACTGTGAAGCATGGGGGTAGTAGCATCATGCTTTGGGGTTGTTTTTCTGCACATGGGACAGAGAGACTGCACTGTATTAAGGAGAGGATGACCAGGGCCATGTGAAGATGGGTTGAGGTTGAGTCGATAGCCAAGGAGTAAGAAGCATATCAAGGTTCTGGTGTGGCCTAGCCAGTCTCTAGACCTAAACCAAAAAGAGAATCTTCGGAGGGAGCTCAAACTCAATGATTCTCAGTGACAGCCCAGAAACCTGACTGATCTAAGGAAGATCTGTGTGGAAGAGTGGGACAAAATCCCTCCTGCAGCGTGTGCAAACCTGGTAAAAAAAACTAGCAAACCTCTGTAATTTCAAACAAAGGCTTCTGTAACAAATATTGACATTTATCTTCTCAGGTGTTCAAATACTATTTGCAGCTGTATCATACAAATAAAAAGTTTAAAAAAATCATGCATTGTGATTTCTGGATCTCAAAGTGGACATGCACCTACAATTACAATTGATTTCTGAGCAGGAGCACTGGCAAAATAGCAGGGTGTTCCAATACTTATTTTCCTCACCCTAACTATGTGGAGCAGGAGGCAAGAGTCCACGTTACAAAGGTCCAGTGCAGAGGTTGTCCAGAGGTATCACCAGTGATAATTTATTGAGAGATGTCTTCCGTTGGTTCTGGTCCATTGGGCTTAATCAGCTCCAAATTGGAGTTCAGCCATCTTCTGGGGCATTTTAGAGCGCTTCATGCTTCCTTCTGCAGTCAAGTTGTGTGGAGATAATGATTCAATTATCCATTAGGACTTGGTACCACCCCACGCTGATAAAGAAACCAATATTTGCTTTAATCCTCATGGTTACGCCAGCAAACTGGTCTTATCTAAGGCCCCATGATGGACTATTGTCAAGAGGAAGATTGGAGATGAGAAAAAGGCTTAAGGACTCCAATAAAACAGCCCTGGCTTCCTGAAGACCTCAGCACAACCACATGCTGAACCTTCAAGCAGCAGCCCAAGCGCAGTCCTTTATTTTATTGCTGTAGTCGTTAGTCTTTCTAGTAACTGAATTTTTTATTTTCATTCATTGTACTATTTTATCATCAAAATCAGTTGCAATCAGTCCAATCAGTCCAATTCACAATACTTATCATCTCAAGGCACTTTATAGTTACACCAGATCATACAGTCAAATTAATTCAAAGTTTTCTATCAAAGGAAAACCAGTTGATTGCATCGACTCATTGACTTGAATGCAATCCCTCACACTAAGCATGCTTGTAGCGACAGTGGAGAGGAAAACTCCCTTTTAACAGGACGAAACCTCCAGTGTGAGCGGCCATCTGCTGAGGCCGACTGGGGTTCAAGGACACAGAAGCAGAGATACAAAAAGCAACTGTAAAATGCGGCCCCTTCCAGGAAACACACAGCCAGGCAGGCCAGCTCCCATGTCCGAGAATGAAGAGAGCAGACCCAACCAGTCACGGTCAGAGAAACAGGACTACATTGGAAAAACAGGCCGATCTGTTGTTGATGGCAGCAGCACAGCTGATATTTCTCTCCAGGGTGGTGTCACAGCCGCAACACAGAACAGATGAGGCAAAGCTACTATGAGAAAAGGCAGAGAGAGCATAACGTTAGAGAGTGGGAGAATAGAATGGAAGGAAGCAAAATGATGAAATAGGGGTCCCTATCTCCTCCAGAACTCTAAGCCTGTAGCAACATAACTATAGAAATAGCTCAGGATTACCAGAGCCACTAGAACTATACGCTTTATAAAAAAGGAAAGTTTTAACCCTTAAAGGTAGACAGGGTGTCTGCTTCACGGACTAAAATTGGTAGTTGGTTCCACAGGAGAGGAGCCTAATAACTAAAAGATCTGCCTCCAATTCTATGTTTACAAATTCTAGGAACCACTAGTAAACCTGCAGATTGAGAGCAAAGTGCTCTGTTTGGAACATAAGGAACAGTCATATCTCTGATATACGATGGAACTTAGCCATTAAAGGCTTTGGAAACTAAGGGTTAAATGTTCAAAAGAGTTGTAATTATTAACTGCCTTTGGAGTTATCAGTAAGTTAGACTGAAAGATTGTTGCTACTCTTCCTCCTCGCCCAGAACTTCTAGGTATGTGAAAATTTAAATAACTAGAAGGAGTTGCCCCATTTATGCTCACATAATAAAAGCTGAAATGATGAATCCGTATAATCCTGCTATCATTTTACAAAGTTTTAGTTATCCTTGGTTCACTTTTGCAAAGTGGCTTTTCAGCAATAAAAGCCCACATAAAAATGAATCTGGATGTTACTTTAAGCACCAATTGGAAGTCTGTGAACATGCTGGCATTCAGTCTGTGTGGAGATATTATGTAATAGCCAGAGTGTTACACAGTGAGCTCATTAGTGATGGAAAACCTCCTTTGTTCGAGTTACGCTTGTGTCGTTTGGTTTGTAGATGAAAATACACTCTGAGATCTAATTATTGACATCGGTTACTGCATGCCTGTTGAGTGCAACGAACCAGCAACACTACAGGCACCAGTAAATTTTGAGCAGTGTTGGTGTAGATCTGGGCAGCCGGGACACACTCTCACAGACACACACAGAAAGAGAGAGAGAGAGTTACCACAAGAGGGAGGGACTTAGGAAGCAAGACAATACTGGTGTTTGTGCAACGGCCCCTGAGTGGCGGCTGGCTTTCTCAGATCTCTCTTGCTTCATGTCCAGTGCTGCAGCGTTGCTGAGGTGAGAAGAAGGACTGAGATGAAGTGACAGAGGTAAGGGCTCCATCTCAGCTGCTGGTGTCTCTGCGATGAGTACATTTTTCCCTAAAGTTGTCTCATGGGTCCTTTGCCACATAGACAAGCAGGAGGCTCTAGTGCCATTTTTTTTGGGTGGAAAGCTGGATGTTGGCTTGGATTGAGGCACCCCGGTCTGTGTTTTGGCAGGGTCACTACTGTGTGTGAATGGAAGTGAAAGAAAGTTTCACTGAAAGAGGTTTCTTTAAATGCATATGTAGCTGCAGCTATGGAAAATACAGAGTTTATTAGAGAACAATAAATAAATATAAAAAAAGTTACTATAGGGTTCGATGGCTTAAGTGTTGGGAGATGTCCAGAGATGATGCAAAGTGCAGGACAATAAGGAAACGTTGCTGGTATTACTCCTGGGCAGGGATAGGGGAAGGTTTACAGAGGTAAAAATAGACAGAATGGAGGTGGACGGATTAAGAGACGGAGATTAATAGGAGTGTGAAGAGAAAATGGAAATCAGAACATTAGAAAGCAGAAACTATTTGAAGAAAAAATGAAAGAGCAGAGGGTTAGAGATTGTCACACATTTCCTAAGCTTGACTGAAAACTACTATAAAAAAAACATGCCGAATTATTTGTTTAACCCTTCTTTGAATATCCCGTTGAGCTACTTGTTTTAAGAACTACAGCAGGACACCATTCATCGCAGACATTCCTTTTTAGCTGACAGTTCTAGGAAGACTAAAGAAACAATATTTTAACTGAAGACTATGAATGAGTTTTTTTAGGAAGACTTAAAACCTGACATCACAAGCATGTTGACAACTAATGACAGGGCTTTAAAGAATAAAAGGTGTCTTTTTTTTACTTAATCCATGGTGACTGCTTGTGTTTTGTGCTCTCAGACAGTGCAAGGGAAGCTGAATTTGAGGTGCAGCAAAGCAGAAAAGCCAGCTGCAACGCAAACATCCAGCCCTGGATTTTTTTGAGGACAGCACAAAGGAAGGCATCCACCCAGTGAGAGCCGCACAGAAGTGAGTCGTCCTCTTCTACCACATTAAAAGGATCTGGAAGGTGTGGGAGGGGGGAGCTGAGCGGCAGTGACACCTTTGGGGGGGGGGGCGTGCTGAAGAGAACGAGCATTGGAGCTGGGGAAAAGAGCCCCCAATCTACCACGATGGGAGACAAGAAAGTTAGGTAAGCTGCTCTACTTTGTTTCTTTTATTTAGCTAATTCATTATTAATAATAAATAAGTCTTAATGTTGGCATTTTGAGTTGTGCTTTGCATGCATTGCTTCAGTCCAGCATTTTTTTGTTTTAATCAGTGCACAGTGCTTAGGATAGTGGTGTTGTTTTTGTAGTGCTTTCTAAATAAAGTTGCATTGTATCGGGTTTGTCGTTGATCCATTCCAGTCTCCCAGCTAAGCTGATTAATGGGGGCGTGGCGGGCCTGGTCGGTGTGACATGTGTATTTCCTATTGACCTGGCAAAGACCCGCCTACAAAACCAGCAGGGCGTCCAAGTCTACAAAGGAATGTGAGTGGGGTTTTCTGATTGGTGCAATCGCAGTTAGACATAATATGGCTTCTGTGTAACACTAAACTAGAGGATTAAGATTGATTTATGATTTTTTTCAGAGTGAAACTCATATTAAAATGATGTATGAGCTGCTAAATAGACTTGGTTAAATATAGTTAAAGAGTGACCCAAATCCTAACCTTTTAGGATTTGGTTCAATCTTTTAAAATTATTCTTTTTACATTAAGTCCAAACGAAATCCAAAAAATTGACTGTTTTCTTTGAATAAAGCAATTAAGTCCTTTGCAATCCTTACGAATAATTCAGCTCAATAATTATTTCCATATTCCCTGGAAGATCTGACTGCTTCATTTTTACCCATAATATAAACCCAATTTATTCACAAGGTAACAGGAGTCATCTTGGTAATGAATAAAAATTTAAATGATTTTTGCTCTCAAGTTCTTTTGACTTCACAATTTTGACCCATATCACAACTTTTTTAAGTAAATATGAGATCAATGCAGTGTTAGAAATACAGATTTTTGGAATTTTTTTGTGAACCAAAACCTTTAAATTTTACAACAAAACCTTTTTGGCTCCGAATCTGTGTACTATAAAGTACTTTTCTAATTATACTACCTTATTATAACGATATTATATCCTGGCATCCGTGTTCCACTAATACTGCTCACATTTTGTATTCAAATGAAAAGGATATAAAGCATGAGTATAAATCAGATATTTTCAAAAAGCTTAGTGTATTCTAATTTAAGTGACAGATAAGGATAAAGTAGCACAGATGTGAAGAGAAGGAAATGAAAAATGGCTTAACCTTTTCTTGCCAAAAATTAAAATCTACAAACTGTTGAGTAAATCTCAACAGTTTAATTTGATACATGAAAAACTGAATTCTGTCTCTTTCAGAAGTCACCAGCCTAATAACTTGTTTCCAACTCTGTGTATTTCAATCTGAAATCAACTGCAGATGTTCTGCTTCTGACCTCAGATAATAATAGAGAACAAACAGCCTTGTGAAACTCAGAGCATTAATCAGAGAAGCAGACCATGATGGTTCTGGATGAGCTGCATGGATCCATAGCTCAGGTTTGGAGAAACTGTTGCCCTTTCCAACTTGACCTGTAAATTAAAAATAAAGCCAGTAAAGGTCTTGAAAAAGCAGTTGAAAACTGGTGGGTTTGAGTAGAGCCGGGCCAAGAGGAGCCAGTGGAAAAGGAGTATATTAGTATTTGCTGTGGCTTCCATAAGTGTTGCCCTACTGGAAGTTTGGAAACAATGAAAGGATTATACAGTTTTCCACAAAAAAGAAAACAAACAAACAGAAAAAAAAAAAACACAGAGGAGACACAGCAGCACACTTTGAAGCTCCATTTTGTTTACACCAAAAATGATTTTATGCCCTTTTGTTTCATGAACATTTTATAAATCAACCTTAATTAACTACACCACTGTGAAACTAGGTGGGGGCAGCATCATGCTATGGGGATGCTTCCTTTCAGTGATCAGAATTGATGAAAGATGAATGTAGCTAAATCCAGGATCATCCAGGAAGAAGACCTGCAAGAGGCTACAAAAGACCTTAAACTGGGGTTTAGGCTAACTTTCAAGCTGGAAAATCACCCTAAACATCCAAACAGAGATACAATGAATGGTTTAGATCAAAGTAGACTCATGGACTAGAATAGCCTAGTCAAAGTACCTAAACCCAAATTAAAATCGAAGGTAAAACTAATGTTTAAAGCTGCTCTACATAAAATCTAACTGAGTTTGAGCTCTTTATTCTTTTGTAATATTACTGTATATATGTATACACAAATTCCTGTTTGACCTTTTTTTTTTTAACCACTCATTTTAATTATTAAGTATTTGACATTGACAGCAAAATTTACCAATCCAAAATGTACCAGTTAAGTCGACTCTGATAAACATGCAAATTATAACTTCAGTAGATGAAGCTGGTGGAAGCAAACTCTAAAACACCTCCAGCCTGACCTGCAGGGAGGTTGATTAAATAAATAAAAAACACAAACATTCACACTACCTTTCAGATTATTAGTGGCCCATTTTTTGTTCGCCTTGTTTCAAATAATGAGCTGGTTTGTGTTGATTTGTCAGATAAATTTCAAATAAAAAAACAAGGTTTGTGTTAAGGTCAATGCAAATTTAAGTTTAACACTGTTAAATCTAAAACAAAGAGGGCTCAGATCATTTCATACTCTGTCGGTGACCCTGAGATAGAAATCAGCAGAGAGATGGAAAAGGGCAGAGACAGTGTCCTTAAAAGGCCCAATGAGCCCGACGTTTAAACGGCTCACATCTGGTGGCTGACCGGGCGTGGCCATCCTGTTTGGACTCGGCAGCCTGTGGGTTTCCACTGTGACTCATTCATGGAAAATAGTTTGGATAAAATCTGCAGCAAAGTGAGGCACCATTTTTACTTTAAAACAGATGCTTTAGAGCAAGCACGTAATCCCTATAATTTGACAGTCAAATCAGCCTTTTGCAGAATTATTTGTGTAGAAACTAGGGCTGCAACAAAAAAACTATTATGCTTATCAGTTGATCTGTTGATTATTTTTTCAACTAATCGATTAATAATCTGATAGCCAAAGGTTCCTTAAAGAAGTTTTTTAACTAAATTAAACCAGATGCAACTAAAACTTTTCCACTTGAAGAGTTCTGGATAGATTATATTGACAGACCAATGAGATTTCTTTATTTTAATTGTGAAATGTATATATATATTTTTTTTTTTTACTATTTTGTTATAATTCCTGCTCTAAGTGGGTCACCTTGTCAGCTAAAAACCTGTTTTAGAGTTTCTATACTCAAGTTAGCGATTAATCGATTACTAAATTAGTTGGCGATTATCTCAATAATCAGTCAATATTAATCCGATTAATTGTTTCAGCCCTAGCAGAGACGTGTGAATTGAAGAAAAAATTGAATGGCTTTTCCTTGTTGTTTTAAAGGTTTGACTGCCTGGCAAAGACAATACGCTCAGAGGGCTATTTTGGATGCTACAGAGGTATCTAATTCAGAAATAACAATGGTTTCCTTGAAATCTTTTTACGGCCATAAACGGCTTCTGCTACCATCTGCTCAATGGTGGTAAGCTGCTTTTTAGGCCTGTTCTATTAGTGGAGACAAACATTCGCCTGTTTGTTGTTTCCAGGTGCAGCAGTAAACCTCACACTAGTCACACCGGAGAAAGCAATCAAACTGGCAGCCAATGATGTCTTCAGACAAAAGCTTTCAAAAGACGGGTACTTGTTTGCTTTTCTTTCCCTCCTCTCATCAAATGCACCTGTATTAGAATATCACTAGATATTCATTTAGTTCAGATTAATTTTGTCGAGGAAACTAAATTTAAAACCCGGTATGCTTGTCTTTTAATTAGAATGCACGAAACTGTAAACATGATATATTCTTTAAATAATGTGTTTAATAGTGGCTTACTGTTTATATGCTTTTCTGCAGACATTTACCCCTGTGGGGGGAAATACTGGCTGGGTGTGGGGCTGGGACCTGTCAGGTGGTGGTCACCACACCCATGGAGATGCTCAAAATCCAGCTTCAAGATGCAGGACGACTAGGTAAGAATGTTTTATTTCATTTATTTATTTTTTTTCAATTTTATTTTATTTATGGAAAGCACACACTGGAAGAAAATCGACATTTAGATAAATAATTTTTACTTAAAATAAATGCATTTTGCCAATGCAACATGACAATTTATATTTAAATTAAGAGAAAAAAATATGTAATTTTCTTATTTAAAGCGTATTTTATCTAATTACCTTATTTTAGCAATAAAAATCCTCATTCCATTGGCAAATCATCTTATTTACTCACTCAAATTAAGGGTAAATACACTTAATTTGAGACATTTTGACTTATTTCTAGATTGTTTTTGCAGGGGAACACCAAAGACCGTTTTTAGCCTTTTAATAAGTGATTTTAATCTTTTCGGGAAGGTTTTTACAAATTCTCTTTTCATAGGAGGAGTTTTCCAGGACAAAAAGAAACAAGCCAAAGGCCCGAATTTAAAAAATTTTAAACAGCAAAGCAAAGATGGCCACACAGAGACAGACTTGCAGGAGGGACCTTACCTTGATGCTGTGGCTCTGTGGAAGCACAACGCTAAAGCCAGAATAAGGCTGGAGTTTCACTTCCACAGTTGTTGGATTTTAACAACATTTTATGTACTTTGTCAGATGATGGAGAACTACAATATAACAAGCTCCTCATTTATGTGATTTTTGGATGACATATGTTTTTACATAAATAGATATTTTTAAATTATATTTTTATTTTATTTTATTTTATTTTATTTATTTAATATTTTTATCAACAATTGATTATATTGTTTTGATTGAATAAATAAAGTGTTGTTAAAAGTCAAAAATTCTTTTTGCACGCTTGTATCCATCTCATAAATAGATAAAGTAGCCTTGTTAATCTGTGATAGTCTTTCCTTTTCTAGTAAGGTCCAGGTCCAGTGCTGTAACTTTGAGATGAATCCCTCTCCAACCCATCTGAATCTAACGGCTGAACTCCCTCATCAACATGCAGTCATTTAATCTCTGCAGAGGCAGAGAAACAAGCCCTTCGTTTGATTCAGGTGTGCTGGAGAAGGGATGCATCTAGAATCTGTAATCTGGTAGCTTTTTAGGACTGGACTTAGACACTCCTATGATAGAGACAAGCAACCATCGGGTGCTCACCACAGGACCACATCTCTCTGTTTCCTAACCTTAGATGGTTCTTGTTTTCCCATTAGCTGCACAAAGGCCCATGGCCACTCCTAGTCAGACAGCTGCTGCTGGTCCTGCTCCATCATTAGTGGCCTCTGCATCACAAGCCCGGCCGGCTCGTCCCCAACGGCCTTCGGCAACAGGCATCACAGTGGAGCTGCTGAAGACCCGTGGCCTGGCGGGCCTCTACAGGGGGGCAGGAGCAACATTAATGAGGTTGGCACACAAATATCAATTTTTAATACAAGGCCCTGAAAAATCATTACCCCCTCGCCCCCTTTTATTTCTTCTTTTGTGCTGAAACTTATTGCTGCTTTGATACACTTGAAGCTCATCAGCAGAGTTCTGTAGATAGCGAAGCAGTTTAGCCGTCTGATTCAATTGTGCAGAGTAAGGAACATATCTAAACGTTCCAGGACACTGAAAGTGAAGGAAGTGTGAGGACCAATATGTTCCTTCTGACTGGAACCAATAATATTCTGGAACGGCCTGTTTAAAGTCAAGACTTTAACATGATAGAGAATATGTGGAGGGACTCTTAATTAGGGTGATGGTAAGGAGGCATTACCACAATTAAGTCATTATATTACTAAAGGAAACATGCAAGAAGCTGCGTAGCTAATATAAAACAGATTTGATTTTAGTGATTAAAAAATATATATTTTTTGGTTAATACCTTCTTTTTCCTTATTTTATTATGTTTTGAGACATATCAGATTTATTTTCTATCAAAAACAACTTTGCAATCACATAATCCTTTTAATAGCAGAAAAAAATGAATGCAGCTCAAGTCTGCAAATTCTGAATCAGTAATGCATTAAACTGACCGATATATAAAAAGAGTACCAAAAATTTCTACAAATTCTCTTTGCATTTAATTTTGTCTTGTTTTTGTTTAAGAACCCTCAATCCAAGCACATTATAAAAATGGGGACTTCAAGTGTAACTGTTCTTTCTGTTGCTACAGCACTTTTCATTCTTTATTATCCTTCAAATGTCACGCAGCTTTATTACTGAACCAGTTTCTGATTATATAACTCCAGCTGTGATCGGTTCATTCTTCGACAAATCTACTAATCAACACAGATCAATAGAGTCCTGCAGCTATGTCTGGTTGTTACACTGCTGCTGAATAGGTTCATGTCTCTCTTCTCTCGCTCTCTCTCTTTCATCACTTCATCTTTTGTTCCACTTTTCTAATGTCTCTTCCCAGGGATGTCCCCTTCTCCATGATCTACTTCCCCCTGTTTGCCAACCTTAACGCACTGGGTCGTGAGGCAGCGGAGGGCCACGCTGCAGTTCAGGTCAGGGCACCGTTCTGGCAGTCCTTTGTGGCCGGCTGCTCTGCCGGCTCCATAGCAGCCGTGGCTGTAACTCCGCTGGATGGTGAGTTCTTGGTAGAGAACAATGCAGAGGACATTGAATAGCTCCACTTTTTGACATTTTGTCACATTAAACCTTCATGTGTTTTAAAACATCAATAAAAAGCAATCAAATTTGATTTAATGGATTCTTGTCTGGTTTTAGGGTCTAGACTTAGACTAGGCCATTTTAATCCAATTACATTTCTGGAGTGCTGTTTAGGGTGGTTGTTTTAGGTTCATGAAGGTAAAAATCCACCCTCATCAGGTGGATGTCAGTGTCTTGGTAGCTCTGCAGTTGCAGCTCCATCTTCTCTCTGTGTTCAGTTGACGGATTGATCAGATCTGTGGTAAATGTGCAATGTTTGTAACAGCTTTTGTTTTAGATTCAAATCCTGTTTGAAACTGAATCAGAAATTCCCCACTGCAGGATTCTTTGAGTTTCATAAAGCTGTTTATGATCTAATGTTCTCAAAAGAGGACAGAACTAGAACAGGTGCAGTTAGGCTCAGATTAAATCCCACTCAGCTGAAGGTGAGACTTGTTACTGGCCTGGTGACTTCTGAAGGCAATAAACTGCACTAGAATTTCACACAAATGACAAAAATAGAATTCAATATAGAATCTTCCTTTTTTTTGCTTTTAATGCAACAAAGTATATAAAACTGTATAATTTATATGGGAGATTTTTTTAACACTTTGTTTTGCTTAAAATGTGCACAGTGATTAAGACTCGTCTGCAGACCTTACAAAAAGGTGAAGGGGAGGACACATACAGAGGGATTGTTGACTGCACAAGGTAGGACTGCAGAGCAAAGAGCTCTAGGACTCTTCCTCCCCTGAACTTTCTCACTTTGTCCTTTCTCTGGGTTTTTTTTAGGCGCATCTTGAGTCGGGAAGGCCCGTCGGCGTTCCTGAAGGGTGCAGCTTGCCGGGCACTGGTCATCGCTCCTCTTTTCGGTATCGCACAGGGTGTCTACTTCCTTGGGGTAGGGGAGGCGGTTCTGGGTTTACTGGAATAACAGTGACTGGCAGTGGTGGCTGTGATTATGCTGTCTAAATACAAGCAGAGAACACACAAAGAAGCACAGCCACACTCTGCTAACCAAAGGAGGAGAAATAACAAAGATGTTGGACCAGCGGGTTCACTCTAATAACTGTTATCTAGGTTTTTACAAGCTGCCAGCAAAGTTCTTATGGTTAAACAAGGTCTTTTGTAGGTCTGTGTAACTAATGTGTGTGTGTGTGTGCAGAGTCCTGGTTAGCCCAGGGTGCTGAACACCACATTTGCTTGAGATATTATTCTCATTTCCTGTAAATAAAGACCTGATGAATATTTTTACAGCTCCTAAACTAAAATGCCTGAAAAGTGTGACTGTTTCTTCAGTCTGTGCAACATCAAGAGGAAGTGACCCATTTAAATCATACCTAAAGCGGTTGTTTATTATGCCTTGTTTAAACCAGGAGCTCAGCCTCTACCTGCCCACTCTGTTATGCGATCCTCCCACTCTATTCTGTAGGTCAGAGTTGTAATCTGGATTCTTCTGCTGGACTGGGAGGTTCTCCCTGCCAATCTCTCTAAGGTCATTTGTTAATCTGACGGTAATTCCTTAATCCCTGTAATAGCTTACAATTCAATTTACATCACAGCTAAACGTCCTGTTAAAAGGCCACAGGTTAGACTGCAAGACAACACATTGCCTTCCAGGCATTGTCACTTTGAATTTATATACCAGTAATAATAAAAAATGCTTTTCCTCCAGATTTATGGTTTAAAATACATTGCTATAAATGATATGCGCACAATAACTAAGGACAATGCAATCAACGCCTTATCAATGCTGTATGTTTAAAACTGTATGACAAAAAATAAAATAGAAAATAAGTAAAAAAATCATATTTTCTTTTGAAAGGGTGGCTCTGTTTAGAGGTTATAAGAAGTAGTAGAAAACTCTCCCAAGGTCTTTACTTCTATGAAACATCATCCCTGCAGATAGAAAAACAAAAAAAAAACAAAAAATCCAGCTTCATCAAAATCTCCGAGGTCATCAGGAAAGCTTCTAAATTCCACCCAGCTGTAATGTTTGAAATAAACGGTTACCAATATAGCAGTCTGTGCCAAAATAAAAGAGAATTTAATCATGTTTATCTTGTTTCCCCTTACCTGATTCTCTGTGATCACCATTTCTTACATTATGGAACGATGTCAAATCAGTTATCGGTCCTAGAGATCATTTAAAAGCAGGAGAACTATCAATCTCCATCAGTCTGTTTCAGGTCCAAATCTCATCAGTTCTTCTCTATTCAGTCACCATGGCGCTCAGGAAGGGGATGGGTTCTGTGATGTGAAATGTCAGGATTGACCCTAGAACAAAAGCTAAAGACCTTTTTAAGATGCTGCTGAAGTAAGAAAGTAATTATCCACAAGGAATCGAGTTCTGTACCAACATGGATGTAAATGCCAGAAAAAATTAAGTGGAAATACTGAAGCCGAACCGAAGCTTGGACATAAATCGTTGACTAATAACTATTTGTATTTACTTGAGTAACTTTTTGATTAAACTGTACTTATAGTAGTTTCACTGCACCTTACTTTTTACTTTTACTCCAGTAAAATTATTGTGAAGTATCGCTGCTCTTGCTTGAGTACAATCTTTGGGTATTCTACCCACTGCGAGCAGTGTCAGAATTCAGAACTGTGGACCTAGAATATCAAGTAGACAGACTGATGTAATTTTAAAAAAAGTTTATTGACAACTCATCAAATCTGTGACTCAGCTGCTAGGATGAAAAAAGTCAGAATCTCTGGCTGGAATCCCAGAAAAAGGAGTAGAATTCAGCCAGATTATTTCCCACAGCCATGGGGGATGCCGCCCAGAGAATTCCAGGAGCCGAAGTCCAGAAGGCTGTTGAACTGGCTTATGTGAAGAAACAAGCAGACGAGGGAAAGCATGAGTTTCCAGAAGGCAAAGCCAAAGCCGGTGTTGATGAGGTTAACAGGAGTCCAGGCCAGAAGATCAGAGATCCGAAGAGGAACCAAAACGAATCCACGTCGGGGTCAGGAGATGGATCCAGGGTTGAAAGCAGGAAAAATCCAGCAGTAGTCCAAAGACAGGGCAGGCAAACAGATCAGAACAGGGGCATGCATGCTCAGAGGTCCAAATGCAGAAACCATTCATGATCAGGCATTCAGCACGGTAAACATTGAACGCTAAAGAACACTCACCAAAGGCTTGTATAATCTGGCACTGATGGCTGGGAGCAAGCAGCTTAAATAGGGACAGGAGCAGGTGGATGAGATGAACAATAATGAAACATTTGGTGAAGCTAGGCAGGTGAATAGAATGAACTATTATGCCAGTCAGTAGTGCCAAGATCATGACAAGCACCTTAACTGAAGAAAGAACCACAATTAAACCTTTAACGTGACACAGGCAGACAGTTAAAGATCCGCAAAAATACCTTTTCTCTTTTGCACACAATCATTGTTATTTTAATGTTACTTTTATATGGTGAGACAAGGTCAAGGTCATATACAGTGAACAAAAAAATCTTGTTTACACTAGTGGAGGTATTGTCCTCTGTTCCATCATGCCATCTTTATATACTTTAAGAAATGGTTTCATATATGTCAAACAATTATTATTATATATTCTTTTTCATGAATTCATTTTTAATTTTGTTTTTCAGTTTGTATTCATTATTCTCTTTTAGTCTTAAATATATTTGTACTAACTTTATATTATTGTCTGGCTGATTTATTTCATTTCAAAACAATACCGTTTCACTCTTACTTGATCCATTTATTGGATGGCCACTTTTTTTAATTGGGTAGAGATATGTTGAAGTAGTGCTACTTTTACTTGAATACATTTTTTGGTACTCTAGAAACCTCTGCTGATGCGTTTCAGAATGGCTGAAGGACAACAAGGACAATAATCTAAAGCGGCAATCTTCGAATATCCGAGAAAACCTGTGTAAAAGCACGGCGCCCCATAAACATGACCCAGTTACACTAGTTCTGTAAGGAGGACTGGACCAAAATTCAAGCAAACTCTAAGGAAAAACTGTGGAAGGAAACAGAAACGTTTGACCAAAATCAGCTTAAAAGGACAATCACCCAACTAACTGAGAAGATATAAGAAAATAAGAAGCAAACTTGTTGTAATAACTTTGGTCATCCTAGCTAATTAAAAAAATTTTTAATGATGAATCATTCGACTCTATGTCTTTGCAGTTTATATAAAAATCTGTTTATTTCCTAAATATTTTCATTAAAAGCGCTGTAAAGATAAGAAGCTTTGGAACTTCGCCCAGACTAGCAGATTTAACTAATCATAAGATAAGGAAAGCTCATAACCTCTAAACAAAACCCCTTTAAAAGTTTTTGAACTGCTCCTTTAGACGGAAATGACAGAATTCTGATAGAACTTCAATTTAGCAACCAAATCTTAAAAAAAGCAAAGCAAGGCACCTTATTTCACTGCCATACTGAAAACCACAAGATGGCACTAAAAGGTTGGTTTGTTTTTACATTTAAATGTAACACAGACTTTTGTTCCTAGAATTTTTCTGGTTCTTAGAGAGAATCTAGCCTAAGATAACTGTTTACAAGCTGTAAATAAAGAGATCTCCAACATGTCAAAATGTGTCCCTATTTTATTTCTTTTAGTTGTTGAACATAGATATGAAGATGTGATGAAGAGAACATCCAAACACAAAGGTTCCCATCAGCACCACCTTGGCTGCCATTTTCACAGTATAAAGTCGAGTAGATGAAGGTATCTTTGGGATTAGATGAGGTTTTCTTTTTCGAACAGTTTTATATACAGCAGCTCTCCAGACATCAACATGTGAGGCCAGGGGGACATAAGAGCTGAATTATTTCTCACAGCAGTTTTTATTTTTGTTTGTCCAAAAAATAAAATAAAATAAAAAAGGCCCCCACAGGCTCGTGTAAAGATGCTGTCTTCATGTTTCCAGCTCTGTTCTCCTTTGATCGGCCATTAATCCAAGAATTTACGGTTGGGGTTGGCACCAAATAAAGTCTCTCTGATTTCAGGCATCATCTGTAAAGGAAAGGATGTCAACAAAAAAAAAAAAAAATAGATCATGGTCCAAGGTCAAAATAAAGAATGTTTCAACTTTGGTTAAATTTCTAAGGCTACAGGAGCAAAGCTGAAGCAGTTTTGCCTCAATTGTAAAGCCTTAGGCGTGAAAGTATTAATGTACTTCATTTGTAAAATGTATACAGTATTTTTAGTTAATATATCTGTAAAATTATGACTAGTTAGTGCTATTGATTTCCTCTTTGAATCATTCTGCCCCTGTCTTGTACAGGCAGCTTACAGATTTCTATCAGGGCGACCCTGCCAGAGTTAGTATCTCGTCCAAATAATGAATAAAAATATATTGTTGCTTTTTAGTTAACAGCTTCTTCTTATAATGTCTAATATCAGGCTAACCCTGCCAGATGCACTGGATAGTAATTGTAACAGGAGTAACCCACTGGTCTCTTATCTCTTTATTTACTGGATTGCTGATGGTCCGTTGGTAGTACAGGGTGCTGTGAAATCACCAGCTGCCATATTGGTACTCCCTCTTTAGACTGGTCGGACTGTAAACAATACTTGGTCTACAGCAGCGGTCCCCAACCTTTTTTGCGTTATATGTCAGACAAAATTTTTACGGACCGGCCTTTAAAATGTGGGGGGTAAATATGATCATATAAAATGATCCGACTGGCAAAAAATCAAATACGAACAGCATAAAAATAAAACTGACCAATATGTTGAATTAGTGGGAGCCCTAAGCTTGTTTCTCCAAAACAAGCTGGTCCCATCTAGGCATAACCGGAGACAATGACACAAAGTGTGCTCCTGATGTCCAGTCTGCTCCGTAGCTTTGTTTTGGTCGCTCTAACCGCAGGAAATAAGATGCGGGTTAGGGTTATAGATAGGATGTCTCTTGACCTGAATTAACCTGTGTCAAGAGGCACAGATGCGCCGACTGATGTAATTGGGAGAGAATACCCCAATATTTTATAACTTTTTAAAATAAAACATCACTCAGACTCTGATCGTCGATAAATACATATATATTTTTTTCTATGTGGCCCGGTACCAAATGACCGACGAACCGGTACCGGTCTGCGGCCCTGTGGTTGGGGACCGCTGGTCTACAGCATCAAACAAGGCTGATTTTCTCATTGTCAGGGATTCTTAAGACTTTTAAAACAAAGATCACTTTGACACACACACTTGCTGTTTCATAGCATCAGTAGATTACTGTAAATTATGATAAAAAAAATAGGCACACTATCTGATGATGTGCCAAAAGTGATAAATAATGAAAAAATTTTTGATGTACATGTATTATTAAATTGTTATAGTAATTACATTACATTACAGGCATTTTTATGGCACGGCTCCGTGGGGAGTACCAAGATGGTGGCAGCTGACTTTAGCTTTTTCGGTCTATGAGCAATAAAGTAAATAAATAGAGATCAGTAGAATAAGCTGTTATGTGAGTTTGTTTTCTTCCTGTGAATAGGTAAGTGCTGCCCCCTGCAGAGAAATAACACAAACTGCACGTAATCATTTTACATTTTCTGTATTTGGTCAAAATGATTGTACCTGCTGTGCCACGAGTTCCAGCCTGCTTTCCAGGGTGTTGGAGACCTTGATCTTCCCATTCTCGTTATAAACCTCGATTCCCCCGCAGCTGAAAAAACAGGAAATGTTTAATTAACCAGGTGAAAGGAAAATTCAATAGCAGCAGAGATCCTCTGGTCCTCAAAGGCCGATGTCCTGTATGCTTTAGATAAATATATACTATAATCATCTCATATTAATTATTGCTGTTAATTACTTTTTTAATTGCTTTTATACCACTTAAATGTCCTTTTCCTTTTCTTTATGTATATCACTTTAAATCGTCTTGCTAATGAAATGTGCCTATAAATCAACTTGCCTTGCCTTTAGATTTCAAGGTGATTGAGGGAAGCTGATTTAAATGAGTTGGTTATTAGGGGACATAACTATTAATCAAACTGTTAGAATCCTGTTTGCCAGATAAAGAACACATTGAAAACATGCAGGACGGTGGCCCCAGAAGACCAAACTCTGCCACCTTTGATTTGAAAAATCACTCAGCCCTTTTGAGGGTTGACTGATAAAACATTGAGCTGTTTTAAATGAAAACATCTTACATATTAGATGGAAGAAAATGATCCTGATCGATGCGGACAATTATGTTTCTCTTCACTGCCTCCTTGTAGATAAGGATGTTCTTGTCAACAGCTGCCTGTCGTGTAATAAAGCAGAGCGTTTTTGTCACTCTTTCAGATTAAAAAACGGTTTGGTTTTCCTACAATAGAGATTGCATTAACAAAAAAAACCAGTTTAATCACCTGAACCATTTCTACATCCTGCTGTCGGCAGCGGATGGTAACTTTAGGCTCTAGCAGCTGATAAAACGCCTAAAATGGATCAAATAAAAAGCAGTGAAAACAGAAGAGAACAAATCTTTTAAAGCAGCATCACGCTCTCTCCACCTGAGCAGCATAATTCACCTGAAGCACCAGACCATCCAGGAGTTTGGAGTACCTTTCCGGATCTTTCACCATGTCTGCAATTCTTTGACGGGCCTCATTTAGCAGGTCCTGTAACAGAAACACAGCCAGGAGATTATGAGAACCTCTCACTAGGAAATATTGTTGCTTCTGCATTAGATTCTGCAATGGAATATGAATAAATGTCGATGCCAAAAAGCTGGTCTTTGCAGTGTTAATAATGTATCAAATTTATTAAAATATCTCACCGTAACCATGTCATCTCGAGCCTTCAGCACCTTCAGTCTGGCTTGGTTCTTCAGGTGAGACATCTGACTAAGGAGAGAAAACCCCTGATGGTTACTCTGAATCTCTTAATGCAGCGGATTGTCTTTCTGTCCTATGCTAAGCAGGAGTGGCAGCTGTGTGTTAGAGCTGCAGAAAACTCTGCCGTTCGATTAAAAGGGCTTTCATTAAAAGGTGGCGAACTGGTGCAGGGAGAACAACCTGGAGCTCAACGCTCTACAAGCAGTGCAGATGGTTGTGGACTTCAGGAAGAACTCAGCCCCAGTTATACCCATCACCCTCTATGACTCCACAATTGACACTGTGGAGTTTTTCTGCTTCCTGGGAACTTTTAACTCACAGGACCTAAAATGGGAGATGAACAATAACTCCCTCATCAACGTCCAGCAGATGATGTACTTCCAGCGACAGCTGAAAAAATTTAACCTGCCAAGGACAATGATGGTGCACTTCTACTTCTCCATCATTGAGGCCATCCTCCTCCATTATCATCTGGTACCCAGGTGCCACCGCCAAGGACAAGGGCAGACTGCAGCGTGTCATCAGCTCTGCAGTGAAGGTAATTGGCTGAAATCTTCCCTCTTTCCAGGACCTGTACACCTCCAGGACTCTGAGGCATGCAGGGAAAATTGTGGCAGATCCCTCGCACCCCAGCCACAAAATATTTAAGATACTTCCATCTGGCAGGAGGCTGCGGTGAATCAGGACTAAAACCTCACGCCACAAGAACAGTTTCTTCCTGCTATCTGCTTCTGCTATCAGCCTTATCAACAAGGCAAATTACAAAAAATGTATAAAGTTTATTGTATGTTTTATATTGTATATAGCTTTAGATTCTGTATTCTGCAAATATATATCTTTTTTCTGCACCATCAACACCACGTCAAATTCCTTGTAACTGCAAACCTACTTGGCTGATTCAGTATTCTGATTCAGATTAAACTCCAGGGTCGGTATGATAGAAAATGTTTGCGGCTCTTAAAAAGTTACGTTTGGGTATATATACACTTTAACAGGTTAATGCCACCTAGAGAGCAAATTATTTCCTTTATAAGAATCTTGAAAATAATAATCCAAAACGCACATTTTCTTATGTTGTTCAATCTGCTTCTCCTTCTTCCCGTAGTATTCCATGATTTTCACTCGCTGAGTCTGCATCAGTCGACCTTTCTCAATGTTGAACTCTTCCTCTGCCTGCAAACAGAAATCCGTGTTTGTTATGGCTCACTGTGCATGAAGTTATAGGCCTGAGTCGGGATCCGTTACCTTAGCATCGATCTCCTCCACCCTCTCTTTGGCCTCCTGCTCAATGAAAGCCATCATGTGTTTGATCTGCCATCAGACATAAAACAGTTCAAATTCCAGAAGGGTCTTTGTCAAATTGCAATAATAACTTGTGCAGCTGTTTGCCCCTTGTGCTTGTATTTAATCATTTTATCTTCTTTTGTTTTCCATTTTAAAGCACTTCAGATCGTTTCAGCTAAGCCACCTCAGTTTTTGAACGTATTCCTACCCTCTTACCTCTTCCTCTAACTTTTAAACTTTTTTAAAGTGTGTCACCCTTAACAGGTGTCCAACGAAAATGTGGACTTCTATTTGACTAAAGTCAGACTTGATTTTATTTTATTAGAAAACACATGTGATTTAACTTTGACTTAAATACTAATGACTTGGTGTCTGTACATGAAGTGTCAGCTATAGGTCTCTTTCTGTTAAAAGGGAATTTTGCTCCCCACTGTTGCCCCATGCATGCTCAATTTGAAGGATTTCTGCAAAGCCAGCAACACAATACAACATGCTCTTCCAAGGACAACAAATTCTGCATAGTTAGTGACTGGATGCACTCATTTGGGATTTCCTTTGACAGACATTTTTACACCAACCTGTCTGTAAGGTTGGATTAAATTGTCTCATAGGCACTGTGTAAATAAACTGAACTGATTTGAATTTATTTTGACTACAAAGACCTGGGGTTAACTTGTGACGTGAAAAGTAGTGACTTGGTCCAATCTTCTGTATCCATAATTGTCTGCCTCATTTCTATAACAGCACCTCCTGCTTTTTACACAACTATTTTCATTTTAATTTCCATCAAAAACCCTTTCCTGATTTAATATTCTATTAAAAATACTTAATGTTTGAGAAAAATGTCGTTTGATTTTTAATTATACTGTTCCTTTATGGATTTTTTTTTTTTTTTGGAAATAAATATAATTTTAACAAGAAAGTGAATTATTCTGCTCATTAACACCAAAACTACTGTTACTTAGGATTATTTCCAAAGCATTCAAAGTTTCAGCAGGTTTTCAGGAATAATAAATCCCGCATAACAACAGAAACGGATAAAAGCTGAAAGGAGCGGTGACAGCTGTCAGATACAGACCGTTATGTTACTTAAAGGAGGTCTGATCTATTTATCTTAGGGTGAACCAGTAACGTTTTTCCCATGGAATAAAACTTATTTAAAGTTCACTGTAACATCCTTACCTGTTTCTGTACGTCGGCATCGGTGAGCGCCATCTCTCGCTTATTTTCTATAATTTCGAGACTAAAAACTATTCAGGACCAACTTTTATTTAGCAACGGAGGAGGAACCGTCTCGAACCCAACTCCTTTTTCCTCTCGGGGTTGCGACATTAGACTTCCGGTCAGACTTTTTAAAAAACCTGTTAACTTAAAGAGAATCCACAAAAAATCCCTCATTCATTTATTGAAACAGATTTAAATAAAAAGCCTAACACTTTGTAATTTCAGAGCAAGATTAACAGTATTTGACCAAACACTCCTGAAATCTAGCTGGGAGGGCGTAGTCTTCTTGAACGCCGCCAAAGCGTCAACGTGTCGGCCATATTGGAAGTGGCATCATAGCCGAGACCTGCAAGAAGGCAAGACAGTGGGGACGTTATAGAGCTGTTGTAAGGCTGTAACGGCTCTTTTATTTCGCAACACATTAAAAATGAGTGGAAAAACAATGTAATGTTTATTTCTATTTTCTCCAAATGGAAAGAGTTGACAATATAATTCAACGGATAAGCTGTCCTGGAACTATTAATAGTTTCTGGATGGATGG